GTAGTTATCAGAGACGCGATCGAAAATTTTTTTAATCGTCTACAGGCTATCGCAAATGGAGCTTTATAAATAACATGCTGTTCGGTATCTCTTTTTTCCGTTGAACTCGTTGAACTTGCAGAGAATGATCTGGGTGAATGAAATCTTGAGCCATTAAAAAGGTTGAATCGTAGGGGATAGGAGAATAAAGAGAATTCTGATCTTGAAGAATAAGCGATTGAGATTTTTGAATGTAATGTTTGGTAATTCAATACTCTGCTCCTGAGACAGGACATTACGACTTTTTTTTTTTTTTTGTCTGTCGGTCACGATTTCACGATATTATTCCATACCTAGGATTAGCAATTATATTCCAAAATCAAGCATCCATCTTATATAATTACCTTTTTAGGTTAGCAACAACTTTCTACGTACTGTATGTACAATATGTCAAAACTGCCTAAATATAGTATAACCAAACACATTAACCTTCTTTTTTTTAACCTTTGATCTTTTCAATGTTCTCGTCACCGGTAGGTTTGTCGCTACCCTAGACCATTCTTTGTGTTAAGATAATCCCGAAACTTGGATTTGGATTAGATCGCTAAAATAAGGCAAGGTTTTAATCAATTTTGAGGAGGTTACGATTTGGCCTAACTTTTTACACTTGCAAATCTTCTCGTGTTCTACACACATAACAAAAGTAATCATTTACCTTTAGTTTTAAGAATCTGATTTTTTATTACAGTTTCTCACTTAGAATCTAAATTTATGTTCTAAGTTTATTCATGGAATTAATTCCTATTAACCAACTATTGTAAAATTATCGAATGCTACTTTCATCTATATGTTTTGGACGCGTATATCTTACACTAATATCCCGCCATTGTTACGCGACGCGTCACCATGTCGCATACCTGCCCCATAATAGCATGTAAGAAAGAACGTGAATGCAGATTCACGGATGGGCAGAGGTGTACATCTTAGATAATAGAATACCATATGTACGTGATTAATGTCTATTGATTATATTATATATACTCTATAATTAATTAGATATACATCATTATTATAATAAGTTGATTAGAAGATACTACATTACTACAATTAAATTTATGGTGGGGTGAAAGACAAGAAAGAAATTCATTATACGTAAATAATTCTGATCACAATTTTCTTGCCCAAAACCTATGATTAATACTACAAACATTTCCTTTTAATTCGATCTCATGGACAACCGAATTGATGCGTCGTTCATATTTTTCCTCGCTCCAACCGAGCGAATTAACAATTTTTCCAAAGTTCTTCATGGCCCATTTCACATTCTCCAAATACATACTACCCAATTTACCACCCCAACTGCCTAACGGAATGTATTTTTCTTCTTGATGGAAATTCGTAAGGAGATAATTATTTAGGAG